AATATAATGATATAGGTAGTTTAAAAGTAAGACATAGAAAAACACATACCATGCAATCATGAAAGCTGGAGTGGTTAAGATGAGAAAAAGTAGACTTCAGAGCAAAGAAAATTACCATGGTTAAAGAGAATCATTATACAAAAATAAAAGGGTCACTTACCAGGAAGACATAATTGTAAATGTGTATGCACCTAATAAAAGAGCTTCGAAATACATGAGGCAAATGCCATCAGAACTAAAAGAAGAAATATACAGATTCACAATTACAGCTTTAGAGATGAATTCTCTTTTCTCAGTAATCAGTAGAATGAGTAGACAGAAAACAAGCAAGAATAAGGCGAAATGAAGAGCACTGTCAATCAACTAGGTCCAATCAACACTGACAGAACTCTTCACCTAACAACTGCAGAATATATGCTTTTCAAGTGCCATGGAACATCTGCCAATACTGGGTCATAAAACCAACCTTAACAAATTTAAAAGAATCAAACTCATTTAAAGTATGTTCTTTGACCATGATTTAAACTAGAAATGAATTACAGAAAGATAACAGGAAAATCTCCCTTGAAAATTAAATAATATCCTTCTAAATAATCTACAGGTCAAAAAGGAAGTCTCAAAAGAAATCAGAAGATAGGCATGCGTGAGTAGCTCTGTTGGTTAAGTACCTGCCTTTGGCTCAGGTTGTGATTCTGGGGGTCCTGGCATCAAACCCTGCATCAGGCTCCCTCCTCAGTGGGGAGTCTGCTTCTCCCTCTCTCGGCCTCTCCCCCCAGTCATGTTCTTTTCGTCATTCTCTAATAAATAAGTAAAATCTTTTTTTTAATAAATAAGTAAAATCTTTAAAAAAAAGAAATTAGAAAATATTTGAACTGAACAAAAATGAAAATACAACATAGCAACATATGGGCAATGCAGCTGAAGCAGCACTTGAAGGGAAATACATAACATTAAGAGTTTCAATTAGAAAAGAAGAAAGGTCTCAAATCAAGTAAGCTTCCATTTTAGCAAAATAAACTAAAAACAGGCCAAGGGAAAGAAATATTTAATATCAGAGCAAAAATTAATGAAACTGAAAAAAGAAAAACAAGTGAGAAAATCAATGAAACCAAAAGCTGGTTCTTTGAAAAGACCAATAAATTTAATAAGTCTCTAGTATGACTGAAAAGAAAAAGAAGACACAGATTAACAGTATCTGGAATGAAAGAGGGGTTATTACCATTGACCTTGCAGACATTAAAAGGATAATAAGGGAATACTCCAAACAACTCTACACACATAATCACCAATTTAGATGAAATGGAACAATTCCTCGAAAACTACTAAAAGTCACTCAAAATGAAAAAGATAACTGAATAGGCCTACAACTATTTAAAAAAATGGAATTCATAGTTTAAGACCTTCCCAAATATAAATCCTCAGATCCAGATTGTTTCATGTGTGAATTCTACCAAACATTTAAATAAGAAATAACACAAATTCTCCGTAGTCTCTTCCAGAAAAATAAGAGGAGGAAACCCTTCCCAAGTTATTTTATGAAGCCAGTATTATCCTGACACCAAAACCAGAAGAAAATAAATAAGAAAAGACAAATACCCTTATGAACTAATATCCCTCATGAATACATAGGCAAAAATCCTAAACAAAAACAAAACACCAAATCCATATGAAAATATGTTCAACATCTTTAGTTATTGGGAAAATGCAAATCAAAACTATGAGATATTTCACGTTCATTAAGATAGCTATAATTTTTAAAAGGAACAATAATAAGCACTGACAAATTGGAACTCTGATACATTGCTGACAGAAAGGTAAAATGGCTTTCTACTTTGAAAGACAGCTTGACAGTTCCTCAAAAAGTTAAACATGGAGTTATATGACCCTGCAATTCCACTCCTAGGTATAAATCCAAGCAAGATGAAAACATGAATATACAAAAACTTAAATACTCATGTTCACAGCCACATTGTTCATAATAGTCAAAAAGTGGGAACAATCACATGTCTATCAACTGGTGAATGGATAAACAAAATGTATATCCATATAATGGAGTATTAATTTAGCCACTAAACAATGAAGTACAGATACATTCTACAACGTGGATAAACCTTGAAAATATTATGCTAAGCGAAAAAAGTCAGACACAAGACATATACTGTGTGAGAGTCAAAAGGTGCATTAGCGGTTGCCTGTAGCTGTGGGGAAAGAGGGAGTGAGGAGTGATTGTACTAAGTATGGGGTTTCTTTTTGAGCTATGAAAACAGTCTAAAATTAGATAATGGGAATAGTTGCATAACAATGTGAATATACTAAAAACATGAAGTGATTACTTTAAAACGGGTGAATTTTAAGGTATGTAAATTATGTCTCAATAAAGCTGTTAAAATAAATTAGCAAACTGAATCTGGAGATCAAGTAGAGTTTATCCTGGATATGCATCATAGCCAAGTAGAGTTTATCCTGGATATGCTAAACTGATTCAAAAATTCAAAAATCAATTGGTGAAATCCACCATATTCAGTGTAAAGAAAAAACTCATGAAACAATCAATTCAGAAAGTGTTTGGCAAAATTAACATCCATTCACATACACACACACACCCAACTCTCAGCAAACTAAGAATAAAAGGAATATCCTCAACCTGACAAAAATTATCCCTCCCTCCAAACCATTATAGCTAATATCATACAGAATGGTGAAGGTGAACGCTTTCCTTCACACAGTGGGAACAGACTGACAAGGAAGAAATAAAACTGTCCTTTATAGACAACATGATTGTCTATGTAGAAAATCCCAAGGAATCTACCAAACAAAAACAAAAACAAAGACAAAAAAAACACAGAAACCAAAAAACCCTCTTGGAACTAATTTTTAAGTTTAGCAAGGTCACAGAATACAAATTAATCTGCAAAAGTCAATTGCATGAATGACAAAATTGTAGAGATGGAAAACAGATTAGTGGTTGTCAGGAACTAGGGAGAAGGGTACAGAGGGGAGCAGTTCTGGCTTCAAAAGGTATGACAAAGGATCCTCATGATGGAGCTCTTCTGTTTTTTGACTGTGGTGATGGTCACATGAAGCTACATACGTAGTAAAATTGCATAGAACTAAACACATACAAATGAGTGCATATAAAACTGGTGAAATATGAATAAGGTGAGTAGACCGTATCAATGTCAATTTCCCATGATATTGTACTATAATTATGCAAAATGTCACCATTGGGGGAACCGGGTGAAGGGTATACAGAATCTTTCTGTGTTATTTTTTACAATGCCATGGAATCCTATAATTATCTCAAAGTAAAAAGTAACAAAAGGTCAGTTGTAACTCTCATACTGCTAATGTGAGTGCAAAAAGGTACATCTACTCTGGAAAATGATCTGATAATTTCTTATAGAGTTAAACATGCACTTACCATTTGAGCCAGTAATCCCACTCCTAGATATTTGCCCTAGAGAAACTGTACACGAGTGTATTTAGCAGTTCCATTTATAATTGTCTAAAACTGGGTACAACTTCAGTGTCCAGAGGGTAAATGAATAAATAAACTGTGGTATATCCAGACAACAGAATACTATTCAGCAATTAATAGTATCAAACCACTGGTAAGTGCAGCTATGTGGACAAATCTCAAAGGCATACTGAGTGAAAGAAGCCAGTCTCAAAAAGGTTACATATTATTTGATTCTATATATATGACATTCTTAAAAAGACAAAACTATAGTCATGTAGAAGAGTAGTTGCCAGGACTTAGGATGGGGAAGGGAATGATTACAAAGTGATAACACAAGGGAGTTTTTGGGGTGATATTACTGTTGGTATCCCAAATGTAGTGGTGGTCACAGGAATCTAGACATGTGTTAAAATTCACAGAACTGGGGGCACCTGGGTGGCTCAGTGGGTTAAGCCTCTGCCCTCGGCTCAGGTCATGATCTCAGGGTCCTAGGATGGAGCCCCACATCGGGCTCTCTGCTCAGCGGGGAGCCTGCTTCCCCCCACCCCCCCCGCCTGCCTCTCTGCCTACTAGTGATCTCTTCCTCTCTGTCAAATTAAAAAAAAAAAAATTCATAGAACTGTGTGCCAAAATGAAAAATCAGTTTTCCTGTATGCTAATTTAAAAAATAAAAGACTTTTTTGGGGTGACTGTAAATCGTGTATCTTTCAAAAAATAAAAGACATTTTTTAAAAAGACAATGTTGACATTTCAATCTTATATTATTAATATGTTCAAAGAGGCCATTTAGAATTCCATTTGCAGCATAATTCCAGATTTACAAGGGGATTGAATAGAGTACTATAGGTTTCACTTTGTAGTATACTATGGGGTTCACAGAGCATTATATGAAAATTTCCTAACTAAAACTTCAAATAAGAAAAAAGAAAAACAATGGTTTTAAAGTAAAAAATGCTCAGTAAACACCAAGTAAAAGAACATTTTAATGACCTTTACTTGAATTGTAGTTTTAGACAACATGCTGAATAAGTGTCTGCTAATTTTTTAACATAAGAAGACTTAGTTTTGTTGATACATGAATGGTAGTTATAATAATCATTAAATAATAAATAAAAATGTTAAATGACCTATAAATAGACTAAAATCCACTCAGATAATTTAAAACAAAGATGAATTTTAGAACCTTTAAATTAAGACATTAGATTAAAAACCACAGTGTTAGGTCAAATCAAGGATGGTCTGCATTAGAATCAAATAAATTATTGTCTGCAGGGAAGTAAGGGAGTATTAATTATTAATTACTCTTATACAATTTATGTAAATGATCCAATGTAAAATGGATTTTAAAAAATATCCTTAAGTTTCTTGAAGGCACATAGTATTTTAAAAATGTATTCTAAATGCAACATTCAAGTCAGGGAAATGGTAAATACTACACATTCAAGTTAGCTAAGTTAAAAATATTACTCAGCTACAATTAAGTATTTCTGTCAGCACAGAGGTTTCCAATTCTGGCTATGATCATTCTGAATTTACAAAGGGGAAATAAGAGTTAGCCTGTATATGAAATGGATCAGACTTTAAGCTACTTCCACACAGCTTCTGCATTAAACTGAATGGTCTACACAGAAAATCCAATGATTACATAAATCTGCCTGTTCTGGATTTCCTTCACATTTTATGGAACATTGGTCCCACTGTAGCTATAATATCTGCATAGGGAGTACTCTGGCTCAGCTCAATCGCCTGCTGTTTTTTTAGGACAAGAAAGCTATAAAATTTGGCAGCAGCCTGTTTTCGGTCACTATTTCTGCAGAGTTTCATCAGACTAAAGTACTGCATTCCCATCTTGTTGGATTCCTGGGAAAATAATTAGAAAAGAAGAAAGGAAAGAGAAGCAACATCATTAAAAGTACAGCAGGCTGTGGATGCATAATGAATAAAATATTAATATTTTTGATAAGTAAGTATGAAGTCCTAAAATGGAGAAATGCAGAAGACTCATTAGTAAACTTAAAAAAACATTATTGGTCATTGAGTATAAGCTTGGTTCATTGAGAAAATGCATGCAAAAGAACTCTTAAAGTGTTATACAAATTTCTGATGTGTTATACAAATGTTAGGTCTTTTAAAAATTTGATGTTAACATAAGTGGCTTTGTGGAAAGTGAAGTTAGTTTAGACTCGCAGGCAGAAAACAAGCCACAGGACTTTGGGAGGCTTCAAATACAATGAAAATTATCAGCCCTATCAGGCTTCTTCTCTTTAAAGGTACTGGGAGGTGGGGGGGGGGGACTATAAACAACTATGGTGATAAATGTAAAATTATATTTATATCTTAGTGGCAGAGGAATATGACTATATAAATATCTCCCAGTTTCCTGGCACAGATTAAAAAGATGTTGAATTCACCACAGGACACCTATGAACCTACTAGAAAAAACTGAGATACAGTAAAGTAATTATGGATAAAGACAACTCCTTTTATGAAGACTAGTACCTGGAATCAGAGTTCTAGAATGGAACAGTATAGTACAGGACTGTCTATAGTATAGTATAGTTTTTTTGGTTAGAAATACTGTGATGAATACTAGCCAGTATAGCTTGAGCTTCGTATTCCTTTGATAGCTGTGAAGTATTTTTATAAATATAATATACAGGGTTTTTTTGCTAGTCCACAACATTTAGCAAACTAATAAATTAAATACTTTATCATACTTTATCTAAACAAAAGGATAAGAAAAGGACAGTATCAGCAACCTTTCAGAGGTGGCATATGCCAAACCTTCACTTATTCCCTCTTGAGGAGACAAGATGTGGATTGACTGGCTTTTTCCCCTGGAAGAGAAGAGGGACACCCTTTTCAATTTCAAGAATCTTTTTGAAAAACACCCCAATATGCAAGACTGAACACTCATGCTTATTTTTCTGTTCCCTCCAGAAAGCCCTCTAAAATGAAGGTTAAAGAATACAAGGTGACAAAGGAAGGGGATAAAGACAAAGTGAAAGACTGACTGACTTAGCAGAATAGAGAAAGTTAAAATCTAAGTACCAGCAGGAAGGGAAACCAGCAGAAAACTAGTTAGTGTGAGCTATAGAACCTTGGAAAAGCTCAGGAATTGCAGGCAATAGTATGTTGGAAGATAGAGATAAGAATTCCTCAGAAGTCTACTTGGGAGCAGTTAGACCTTCAGGTACACTCTACCAGTTCACTGAACCAGGAGATCACAACTCCAGTACCCTGCCAGGAGGCAGGAAGTTGCCTTTCCAGAGATTTTAACCACTGAGGCTCCAGAGTTGGGACACCAAGCACTGTGGATGGTGAAGAAGTGTCATACCACAAGCTGGGAGTTAAGTGAAATTCTACAAGCTAAACAATGAGACAGTCAAGGTTTCCCCTTCCTCTTCTTGGGTCCTGAATCACTGGCATCATGCTTTTCATCTCCTAGGCAGTAGATTTGAAGATTTAGCTGGGAAAACTGACCATGGGTGCCAGGGGATTAGGGGAACGACAGATAATGGCACCTATGTGTATGCAAGTGTGTGTGTGGCAGGGGGAGGCACAGCCCGATTATCTCACTGTTAAGACCACAAGTCTACAAGTGTCACCCTTGCTTATATAACTTCCAATCTGATTTTTGCTGTCCACTCTTTTTTAAGAAAGATTTATTTATTTATTTTAGAGAGAGAGCACAAGCAGGGAAGGCAGAGAGAGAGGGAGAGAGAATCTCAAGCAAACTTCTCACTGAGCACAAAGCAGAGGTAGGGATTGATCTCACAACACTGAGGTCATGACCTGAGCCCAAACTGAAAGTTGGGTGCTCAACCAGCTTTGCCACCTAGACACCCCTTTGCTGTTTCACTTTCAAATAAGAACAGATAACCAAAGGTCTACCAGACATTTGAGTTTAATTTCTAACATTCAAGAGCATTACTAACATTTAAGAGAATCACAAAGCAAACAGAGGCAATGTAGGGACCAGAAGAAAACTATAACCTATGAAAAAGAAGACTCTGTATCCATAAAACATGATGATGAGGAGGGAGGGGGACCAGTGGGAGAGATGGGACAAAGGATTATCAAGAGGCACAAGGAAATTTTGGGGGGTTGTAGATACATATGTTCACTCTTTTGATTGTGGTGATGGTTTCACAGGTATATACATGACGTTGAAACTTATCTACTGTATAGTTTAAATAGGTGTGGTTTATTGTATGTTAAGAATACTTCAACAAAGCTGTTAATAAATAAATAAATGAGAAGATTAGGATGCTAAAAACTAAAAGAATAATTAATAACTAAGAAAAAATTTTGGAAAACAAAAGAGGTGAAAGTAGAAATACAATTCAATAAAAACTGGAAGATAAAGTTGAAGACATTTTCTAGAGAGTAGAAAAAAAAAGACAAAGGGAATTAATATAAGAAATAAAAGATTTTTTTTAAATTAAAGGGGAATTCAGGGGATCCAACATCTGACCTGTAGGCAATCCAGAAAGATAGAATAGATGAACAGCAAGAAGGAAATCTAAGAAATACTACAAAATTTCCTAAAATTCAAGGACATGAGCTTCCAGAATAAAGAACCCATTACCTGCTCAGCACAATAAATGAAAAAAGACCCATATCAAAACACATCATCACGAAATTTCAGACTAGTAGGAACAAAGAAAAGACCTAGAAGTTTCCAGACAGAAAATAAAGGTAACCTACAAAAGGATTGCCAACCAAGCAGCATCTAACTTTTCAGGAACAACACAAGAAACCTAGATATGTCACAAAGCCTTCAACATCTGAAAACTATTATTTTCAAACTATGTTCAGAGACACCTAATCAAGTTAAAGGTAAAATAAATAAATTTTCAGACTTGTACATAAGGTGTCTATCTCCTATGCAGTCTTTATCTCAGAAAATTATGAAAGGATGTTAACCACCAAAAAATTCAGTAAAGGAAGATCAAAGCATTGAGAAATAGAGAAACTAATATGGGAAAAAGACAAAGGAATTCCCATGTTATGATAAAGGAATGTCCCAAGACAAAAACAATGGAAAAGACCTAGAGAGCAGCTAGTCCAATGAGAATAAGAAGATGATGAGTTCTGGAAGGAATATCTTCAAGAAAATATACTGGAACTGGTCAATCAATGGACATATTTGAGCATACTAAAAGAGGTTTCATTATATTGTCAGAGAGTTTGAGAAAAGAATTAAGGATGCATTTCCCAAGCAAATGGGAAAAATGATGCAATGATTAACTCCAAAAAAACCCACTTTGAAGTTCACAAGAAAAGAAATGTAATTACACTAATTTTTACACAGTCTTTGTAGCAGTGACTACTGATTGTCCCTTGATATTCATTCTTGTCTTCTTTCATAGCAATAGAATAATTAGCTGGGCCCAAGATTGCCAGATAAGGACTACATTTCCCAGCTAGATGTGGCAAGGTGACTAAGTTCTGGGCAATGAAATGTGAAAAGTGATACACACAATTTCTGGTTGTACCCTTAAAGGAAATTTTGCTGCTGACCAGAATGCAGATGTGGTGGGTACTCAGCCATTTTTTATCCTGAGAATAAAGAAAATGAGATAAAGGTAACTTGGGTCTCTGACAACTTTTTGAGGGTAGGGACTATACCAGGTTATACTTTACCTTTTGAAACCATTGATACTTTGGCTCTTTGTCAAAGTCAAACCTACATCATAACTATTACAATTGTAACACTGTAAACACTGAATACTGTATGAAAAACAGACTGTGGTGAGAAAGCTATAACTAAACTAAATTTTCATTCTACATTGAAAGAAGTCAACAGATAAAATAGTAAGAATATGAAATTAGAAGTATAGATATAAATACTAAAAGAAACAGCTTAATATAGTTGCCTTTGGTGAGCAGGACTTAGGAATAAGGAAGATAAGACAAAAAATTCCGGTGTTTCCTTCTTAGCCTTATAGCATAGAACTACTGAACTTCAATAATTATATACATGTATTATATTGATAAAAATATGTAAATTTTTTTTTGAGAGAGAGAGTGAGAGCAGGGAAGGAGGTAGGAGGGGCAGATGGAGAGAGAGAATTTTAAGCAGGCTCCATGTCCAGCATAGAACCTGACTCAGGGGTCCATCTCATGCCCCTAAGATCATGCTTGAGCCAAAATCAAGTCAGATACTTACCTGACTGAGCCACCCAGGTGCCCCAAAATATAAGTTAAATTTCAAAATAATCTGTTTTACTCTTAAACTGTTATAAACTTAGTTCCATATAGAGAATTAGTTGATAGCCTGCTAAACACAAGAATAGGAGCATGAGTATAGGTAAGAAGTTGATTAGAACACATAGGCACCAAAAGCAAACTCCCACAGTGAGCCCTAGGTATACTGCTCAAACTAATTTCATTCTAGTGGAATTTGGTCTCAACAAAAAAATAATGAAGACTATTTCATTTTTATTAACACCTAGAAGATTGATGTCAGCATTTTATTTTTAAAAACAAAAGTAGAATTGACAAACCCTATCATCTTACCCTCAAACTATGTAAGATCCGAAGAATTCTTCGATTCCATCTCTCTGTCTCAGTATTATGTTCATTCTCCGATGACTCCTGTTTGAATGATTGATAAAATATTTCATTTAAACAAATCTTACCAAATGCTTACTATTTGCCAAGCATAGTGTTAGCTGCTACAAGAAACCCAACTATAACACTGGGTCCTGCTAAAAAAAGAACTTATAGTCTGATAATAGAGAGACTAGGAAACATAAAAATATATATTGATCCTTTGCAGGATTATATCAATGTTACCTAGGCAATGAGGGTCTCCAGAAGAGGAGATTCTGCAGTCTTTATTAGTAATGCATCCAAAAGCATTATGTCTTTACTCTCAAAAGTAAAATAAGCAGTGACTTTTGGTTAGGACTATCCCAGCTCTAGTCAATTTGAATTGAGTTGATAGGAATAAACATAAATCTATAGAAAAACTGCCTTGTAAAGGCCTTTATCTGAACTTAGCTGCTGATACAGAAGCTCTAATTAATACGTGATGTTTAGCCATCTGTGTACAATTGGATTAGAACCTTTTTTGATTTAAAGGGTAACTTGTCCAAAAAAGATCAACACACTTCCTGTCAGATTCTCTGAATAGATTCATTCTTTTCAGTCTTTAAAATTTAGCCATCTTCGGAGACACCTCAATATTTAAAAATCATCAAGTTGAAATCCCTTCACAGGAACTCATTCTAAGTTCTTATGAACTAACACTTTATGAGCTAAGAACAGAACTGGGCATAGGAAAGGTGCTGATGAATCTGACAAAAGAGCAAGTCTACAAACTGCAGGGTGTGGGAGGTTTTTGGGGGGAGGAAGGTGGCACAGAACTGACCTACTTTATAATTTTCCCTAGGCTAGCTCTGACCATGCCATCATCCTTACCACAGGTACACTGTCAAGTGTCACTTCACGTGTACCTTTGGAGCCCAGACACTTCCTGTCTGTTTTAAATTTCACAGACTCCAAAATGATTTCAGAAAGTTCCAGCATATTCTCGAAGCTAAGGAGACTGACTGCAGAGTCCTCATTCCTACCAGTTATACTGGCTTCCTGGTCCTGCCTGTATAGCATTCTTTCTAACATTCCAAAGGGAATGACCAGAAAATATGGTCACTTTATTCTGAAGAGTTTTCCAAATCCCCTCAGCTACAATTTACTCTTATTTCTTTCTGGTCTGCCCTAGGATAAATGAGTTCACCCAATTACTGGTACTTATTATATTGTTAAGTACACAAATGCTGTTTTTCAAATATAAAAAAGCAATGGCCCAAGTCTTTGTTAAAGATCCATGAGACCACAGCTTCACCTATAACTGCACAACTAAACTAACCAGGAAAATGCTCAGAAAAAATAGTCTATGCGCTTTGTTGAAGCCTGTCTACTTGATCTATCCGGACACCCTACTGCTGAATCCATTGTGTGGAAAGCCCAGTGGATTATTAAAGCAGCTGAACTTGTGCTGTGTTGTGGTTTGCTTGACCGTGTAGGAAAACAACCTGTGTCTACTGGAGCAAAGAGAAAGGCGAAAATGAATCACCCCACTTCTGGCTCTAAGGTGTTCAGGTATCTGTTCTGTCCTAGATTATCTACAGAATCCAGTCTATTTTTCACATTTGAAAAAGCAATCTAGTAGTCTTGGAACTCAGTATAAAGATTATTTATTTAAGAATAAACTATCATCTGGCATTAATAGCTATTTTGATATTATTCGATAAGAAACTTTAGCTAAAATTCATTACAATCTTAAAAATGTCTTCAGCACTGTGGTACAAAGACTGGAGAAATAAGAACATGATATGTATGGACGCAGGTGAGTCAGATATTACTTCTGGCTTTGCTATTGAATTGTGGCCCTTCAGCAGGACCACTTTCTTTTTAGTGGTCTGATATAGGCCTTGAGCCACATAATGTTTTGGGGGGAAAATGCCATGTTTTGTTTTTGTTTCTTGTTTTTTTTTTTAATTTATAAATAAAGTAAAATTTCTAACACTCTAGGATGTACCTCTCTTATAGCTCTGCTTCTTTAAAGATGTTATACGTTAAAACAGTGATTCGCAATATTTTTAACCTATGACTACCTTTGATAACATAAAAATTTCTCAATTTTCTTTAAAATAATTTGAAGTTTCAAAATAAGTTAAAGAAAGAAAAAAGGTCAAAGCAATTCTGAGTATGTTTTATCAAACTACTTACATTCCCTTTTGTTGAGATCACTAATTTAATAATTCTAGAAAGTAACATGCCAGCTCTAAAACCAATTTTTAGGTAAATAAGGTGGTAACTATTTAGGAACAAAGTTTTTTGTTTTTGTTTTTTAAGATTTTATTTATTCATTAGACAGGGAGATTGTGCACAAGCAAAGGGAGCAGCAGGCAGAAGGAGAGGGAGAAGCAGGTTTCCTGCTAAGCAGGGAGCCCGCTGCATGGCTCTATCCAGGACCCTGGGATCATGACCTTAGCCAAAAGCGGACACTTAACTGTCTGAGCCACCCAAGCACCCCAGGAACAAAGTTTGTAAGAACATTCTCAAGACTGTGCATATATTTACCAACTCCACTGTACGAGTCTCATTTTCTTGTGCTAAGATGGCATTCATTAAAGAGGATTCCTCAGCAGCTAAAGATACCATTTCAACAATATCCTGCTAAAGCAAATTAGGGAAAAATAGGTAAGTCATCACAGTAGTAGTAATCGCAGGAAAAATTTTATTTTGTTAAATGCTTTAATCACATGAAGGTTCATTTCTAAAACTGATTTAAAATACTACCTGCACTCACAAAATATTATTTCTGAAATATCCCAGATAGGCTGCCCTGTTTTCCGTATGCCTCCACAAATGAAGAACTGGCACATCCCTGCCCTCTTTGCTGCCCATCCTTTCCACTCCTACTTCCTTCACCACTGCCGACCTCATATCAAACTTCATAGCTGTGTGGCTGAGGCCACTTTCCTTTGAAGCATTTTGTCTAGCCCCAACCCCTACCTCTATCCTCATGCCAGTACCAGGTGGTAGAGGAAGAACTATAAACAGAGGGCTGAAAATGGAGGAAGGGGGTATTAATATCCCTACCTAGGGCCATGGCAAAATTCTTGCCACCATGGCTGGAGCTGTCACTGGCAAAAGGGAAGAAAAACTGTGTCTTCTGGAAGGGGAGCAAAGGCATAAGGGAAGAAGGAAAAGAAGAAAGCCAGAAATTCTCCATTCCTTATCATCCCCTTTTTTCATTGTTATAGAAGTCATGGGCCCCTTTTTCATCTTTAACAGTCTTCAAGTTAGGAGCCTACTACAACAAAGGGTATTTGATTTTTCACTTTATCTTTTAAAATTTTTAGTGAATGTAAGGAGTTGCATTTTATTCTTTAATCTACATGTTTGTGGAGACTTATTTTTTTCTCTTTTAATTTCTATGAATATTCTATATTTTAGGTACTCTCCATTTTGTAGTTATTTTACATAAAAAATGGTTTAGGAAAAATTGAAAGCAATGAATCAGAATCAATATTTTTCTGTCTTGTCAATATTTCCCATTCCTGATTATGTTTCACACCTGTTCACCATTTTTGGAAGCACCATAAGAATGGAATTGAAAATTAAAGCATAAGTATAGAGTAAAGGAGTTAAGAGGGTCAAGAGAACTCATATATCAATCTCTTCACTCCAAGCACTTGGGAAAATCTGTTTTGTTAACGTATTAAAAAATTGTGAACTAAACAAGCTTACCTGATCATAAGTTTCAGTAGATGCACTCTAAGAAATGCTTGAACCCAAAATAAGGAAGACAGTAGTACTGGCAACCCAGTATCTCAATATCTAGTATACTATCAAATATTCAGTAAAATACATTGTTTTAATGCATTATGAAATTGTTTTTCCTTCCAAGGGCATTCAGTTCCAGTGTGGATTGACTTTGAATTCCCTGAGTGGCTATTAAAATACAGTGATGAAGAACAAACCAAAAGAGCACTAGTTTATTTTTATCTGGTTTAGTTATAATATTTACATTTGTACAACTACTAAAGTGACAATGGGGAATATATTTTAAAGCACACTGTTTCCAATGATGCTTTTTTTTTTTTTTAAGGATTTATTTATTTATTTATTTGACAGACCGAGATCACAAGTAGGCAGAGAGACAGGCAGAGAGAGAGGGGAAGCAGGTTCCCTCCTGAGCAGAGAGCCTGATGCAGGGCTCCATCCCAGGACCCCAGGATCATGACCTGAGCCAAAGGCAGAGGCTTTAACCCACTGAGCCACCCAGGCACCCCATCCAATGATGCTTTTAAAAGACTATGATTTTTGAATAAAAATTACTTCTTCAAATAAAATTTTTTAAAAATTTTGTTTGGTCATGGATTTTTAGATAGTCTTTTGGATTCAAGACTAAGATAATTATAGGTCTAAGACATAATCTTAGACATGAGAAGAGTGAATTTATGATCAGGAAAAAAACACAGGTGTACTTTCCAGAGTCCTAAAAAATTCCATGATATATTGAATGCGGGGCCCAGGAGGATTCTTGGGATATAACTGGATTCAAGTACACTCATTTATTTGATGTATCATGCAAAATGTTTCAGTATGAAACTATTTATCTTGTGATTTACTATCCAAAACTTCTAGAAAATACTGTTCTATAGATGAAAATCATGCTTTACATAGTATGGCCACTTACTAAACAAATTGAAGAATAAGATAAGACGGAATATAAACTATAATGTAAGAAGACATATCAGAGTTTCAACGTTCCTTCACTCTGTGTCGGAAAAATAATATTTTTATGATTTTCTTTGATTAACTTACCTCGGAACTAGTATTTTTATTGATATCCTCATGAGAGCTACAGTTAGATCCATCAATCACATCCTTCCACATTTTGGATTGATTTAAGTCTCGCTGAGAATTTAGTTCTTCCATCACAGAGGTCTCTGAATTATTAAGGAAGTAAAGAAGGTTTCACCAGAATATCTTTCAAACTTAAATTGGGATATGGTTGTTACAAAAGAAATTTTCTGACAGAAAACTTGGAATCTGAGGATTTAAGCAAAGGATGTACAAACTTTCTTATAGTTTCCCAAGTCTCACGTATTTATCTTCTCTTCCCCCTCGTCTGGTTCTCATCACCTCCACTCCCCATCCTCCACCAACTGTCTCCTCCACACTCACTCCAACACATGCATTCACAAGACAACATGGAGAGTTCAAGTCCATCTTGGTGTATGGTTCAGTAGATTTTTTTTAAAAGATTTTATGTATTTATTTGATAGACAGAGATCACAAGTAGGCAGAGAGGCAGGCAGAGAGAGAGGGGGAAGCAGGCTCCCTGCTGAGCAGAGAGCCCGATGTAGGGCTCGATCCCTGGACCCTGAGATCATGACCTGAGCTGAAGGCAGAGGCTTTAACCCCCTGAGCCACCCAGGTGCCCAGTTCAGTAGATTTTAATGTCTTCAGGACAAGTGATCAGGAAGCAGAGATTTGCTCACTACCAAAGCTGGTTTTATTATTCCTTTACAATTGTCACAATCAGTAATTTTTAATACTCCATGTATCCTCTAATTGGATGGAAGTGTCTATGTCTCAGGTTAATTGTATTCTTTAAATGCTATTCTTATCACTAAGTGACATATCCTGTTCCTTGTCTTAAAGTGAAACATTATCCTCCTAGATAAAATAGTTTTATCTGTTGAAGGTTTAGGATTAGGGATGGGGGAGATAGGGAGGAGTGAGATTAGGGATAGGGAAATAGGGAGGAGTGAGATTAAGGAGGTAGGGAGGAGAGATTATGAAGAATCTGCATAATATATATACCTCCTGTTTTTAATGTAGTTTGTTGGATGAAAATTAACCTGTAGGCAATGCTGATGTAACAATTTCTTTAAGGTGAAATATTCTTCTAGAGACAGCATTTATACTTGGGAATATGGAACTGGACCCCATTTTCACTTGAAATGTAAAATGACATTTTTGTTTCTACAACATTCCCCCAACACCAACAGTTAGAATGTCTCACCTATTATGTTTTTGCTTTCCACTTCTTCCCTTACTGTTTCCTTCCGTATCAATTTTCTTCCAAGTTTAAAGCCAGAGGACAGAAAGCATTTTGTAAACAACTGTAAAAATATACATTTTTATTTCTTGTTTTTCAACAAGTAAAACGATTCAATAAAATACAAGCACATGTGCCAAAAAGTGAAAACTATAATTCATGTACACACACATCAAGCAAATTAACTCAAAAGGAGGTATTTTTTATAAGTTTATATTTTGTTATATACATGAATGTAAACACAGATTTACTTATTTATAACCGAACATTGTACCTACATAAAAAGATGCAAACTTTTACCATTTTCAGTTCAGCATGAGTCAAATCCTGGGCAGCAGTTGACAGAAGTGTGTCCACTCCTCCCTTCTTCTTCCACATCATCAATCTTTGGGTAGGAGGTGCAAGTTCCAAAACCATGAGTGTGTCCGTAAAGGAAGTAAGCTGTTTATGCATAATTTTGCTACTGATCTCCTTGATTGGATCTATGAGCAATTTCCTCTTTTTGCCTTTTCTCTTCTCAGCAAAGTCTAAATATAAGAAAAAGGCACAAATGTGATTGTACAGCTTTGTAAAGTGATATTCTAGGCGCTGCATATCTAAGAAACGTCTACCACAATGGAACCTACAGAGTTGCCATGGGAAGAAAATCCCTTTCTCTCTTCTAATAAGTTATGCTTCACAAGGTTTTTGTATAGCTAGAGTATCTGAGCAGCCAACAGCGGATGCATTTTGTAAAGTGTTCGTTCAAAGTGCTTAGGAGGGACTCTGTTGACCTAGCAGGCAGACAACTGAGGAAATGCAGAGCAGAGGATATAATCAGGGAGGTAGCTCAATCTTGAAGTTCCCTAAAATATCTATATAAGAGGATATTTTGAAACATTAATTTGTATCTGTCCAGTATATTTTTCCCTCCTCCATTGAAATTCATACATAAATTCCAAGTCAGTAGCTAGGTCCATGGGATTTCACTCCTTTTAGATAATTTTACCAGGTAGAAAGCAGAAGTCAAGCTTTTCCTTAGTAAAGATGCAAAAAGGGAAGATGAGATTTCCCAGAATGGGAGAAGATCTGAGATCAGATGGAGCCAAATGGAGCAGTAACTTGTCTGCTAATGTGCCTTAGTAAAATCCTGGGAATGTGGCGAGATCCCAGAAGGGGTGCTGTGTGATGACCCCAGAGGCGACATAGGCTGGGACAGTGGGTACCACTAACTATTTTGACTGATGACCAAAGTTTCCTTTCTACCTGTCACACCCATCCCCCAAATTTTGATACTACATAGCTTAGGCCACATAGGGGAAATGTACAGATTGAAATTTTTGCCAACCCAGTGAGATAAAAACTCAGAGTTGCATAAAGTAGAGAAAAAAAGCTTGAATGCTTTATCCCTTGAATGCCTGAATTTATAACTGAAATACATATCAATTATACTACTTAAAACTATGATGTCCTTATAAGGTCAAGTTATATTCGATTCATATTTGTCTTTTATTCCTAAAAATATGCATGAGGGTAAATTTTAGAGGTCATAGGCTTCTCTTTTGATCCTTTTATTTTGTCTTATTTTACATTCATTTGCATGTTTATCTATCTTCCCAATCAGATTGTAAGCCTCTTAAAAGCGGTACTATGTCTTCTTCATTTCTGTGCCCAACAGAGAGTAATGGTTCAGTAACTACTGGCATTGAACTCAGTTTTAGATTTTCCTGTTTCCCACACTGGTTATATGGCTTGACCACAGATGACTATAATGAAAGGATCACCTCAAATTTCCTCCATACCCTTTCCCTATCATATGGCAAATGTTATTACTGGGTTCACTCCCTCCAATAATATTTCACAGATTATCTCACAGTAAATAAAATAATAGTGTATCAAAAATAAAAACTAAGCCTGGGTGGTTTAGTTGGTTAAACAGTCAACTCTCTTGATTTTTGCTAGGTCATGATCTCAGGGTCATGAAATCGAGCCCTGTGTTGGGCTCCACACTCAGTGGGGAGTCTACTTATGGATTCTCTCTCTCCCTCTCCCTCTGCCCCTCCCCCTCAAATAAATAAATCTTTAAAAAATTTTTAAAAACAAAAAATAAAAAACAAAAACACAATTGGGTCTGACCTGAAGCATCAATTGGGTCAAGGGTAAATCCTTGTTCTTCATTTGATAATGTGTCATCCATTTTTCCATTTTCAGGTAGACATATATACTCTGGATTATCTGGTTCCACTAATAATACCACCATAAAAGGAATTATTAAAAAATAATGGTTATGTTATAACTTAGATGCTTATATGAGAATAAAAGCAAAGTATAATGATAATTGAATACTTATATTGTTAACTGGAACCAAATCTGATTTTTAGAATCATGTACTTAATGGAGTTGAAGAGACACAGAGATTACGTGGTCTGAGACAGAGTGTTTAAATGTGCTCTCATACCAAATAAACCCAATTCTGGCTAAATACTTTCACTGTAACTTTCTCAGAACCTAGTTTCCTATTTCATATTGTCCAGGGTCAGACTCAGGAGACTTTGAGGGACAACATTCTTTACTATGTTTCAGTATACTATATTGCTACTTAAACTGTGCAGTTATAAGGCTTAATCTGAATATTATTATCTGTTCACTTTCTACAGAAAGGATAATTTCATCATACCCACTATAGTATCAGGAGGCTCAGGAGGCAGAGAAATTTCTCTGCTCAAATGCATGTCTTCTAACAGGATATTCTGATCATCTTGCAGTAGATTGTCTTGAAAAACAATAAATACTTTAGTCATACAGAGTTGAATCTGTCATTTGTTCACTAAACATTTATTGACACTATTGTATACAAGAATGATAAGGTACAACCCTACTTAAGTAGATTTGATTGGTTACACAGACTCTTGTATTTCAAACAGGATAATGTAAAATTGTATATTTATCATTTCCTTTCCTTTATTAAATAGATGTTTAATTTCAGGAGATATTACTAAACCAATACCAAAATAGTAACCTTGTTACATAACCATGTTTAGATTTCAAATCAAGAAGTAAAAGCTTTCAAAATTCTTTAGTAGAGTTTTAAGGTAGAATCATGTTTTTTCATAATTTTGAAATTTCAGAAAGTTTGCTATAACCAGCCTTTTAAAGCAAACTAGAGAATTTAAAAAAGATTTGTTACCTAACCATCAATATCTTTAGAACATGTGTATTTAGATTTCCCAGTTTTTGTCTACCCTATTTCTATGATTATTTTATAAAAACATCATGATATAAATATAAAATTATAATATAAAATGTCGGACAGATCCTTTAGCTGTTTCACAATTTCTGTTAAGGAAAACAATGTTTTCTAATATATGACTTAATATATTTTGTGAGGACTATATTAACTCCACTCTTTCCCCTTTAAAAATTTAGAATTTATAAAAATAAAAACAAGCAGTATTTTATAACCTAAATGAAAAATGTGTTTAAATAGATGGCTATTCACTTAGACCTAGCCTAAATGTTTAAATACACCATAGATTTTGAAAAACTTGTGTAAAAAAATATATTGATTTATATGACACAGGGGCATACCTGAAATTTTAGTTTGATCTAATAAACCTATTAATACATTCTAGTATGATTGAAATAAATATCTGATTTCTATATAACCAGACAGCATACCAATCATCTCTCCTGCAGCCCCTTCATCTCCAAATCCATCTCCACTGTCATAGAACAGAGACTTTTCTCCAGCAAGGCTTCCAGAACTATGTTCAACTAGAGGACCACTGGAATTCAGCAATATGTTGTCATCAAAGAAGCTATGTCTTCTGAGAATTTCAGGTTCTTCCCCTAAGTGAATATATATCATTAATACTGAGTTAGCCATAGAAACATAAAGTTTTAGGGTTAGATGGAAATTCAGATACCTTCTTGGATAGCCCCTCCCATTTTACAAATAAGAACAATAAGAGCTTAAAAACTTATTTGAATTGTTCAACTAATGTCACTCAGTGGAGACTGGATTTTTAGTCTAGCACTTTTTCCAAAGCAATAGGAAAATACATTAGGATAGGGTTTTTAGGTGTAGTTCAATTTAATAATTTCCCAGAGGGTTATTATTGGCAGTGGAATGATTTCTTCTGCATTAGAAAGGTCATGTCTGCTTGATCCAGCATTATATCATATTATTTCAGTTTCTTGTGTTGTTTATCCATAATGGAAGTTTGGAAAATAAGAGGCATGTCTGTCTTCTCAGGAATGGAAAAGTAGGTAAAATATTAAAGAATGGGCTTATAACATTCATTCAATAAATAACTATTGAATGACTGGGTATTAAACAATCTGCTAGGTGTTGGACATACAGCACTTAAAAAGAAAAAAACACGGTCAGCTAACATTAACTGAGTGCTTATTATGTGCATTATATTATGTAACAGAAAATACTATTATAATCCTTATTGTACAGACAAGGAAACACGTCCACAGAAAGGTTTTATAATTTGCACACAGTCATACCCTAATAAATGACAAAGCCAGGATCTAACCTAGCAGAGACAGTGACAGTAACAGTGTTAGAATTTCACTGGTAAAATATATTGCAAAATCGCAACTTATGAGAGCAATTCCTAAGACACTGACAGCAGCAGATAAAGTGAACTCCCTGCTTCAAACTGACTTGCTTCCAGATTGGCTGTCAGCACATGTATATTCTTTCCCTTTCTTGGGTTTGAATCTCTAGGTCCAGGAATCTGAAACCAGTGGTCAGACAGAGTTGGTCTTCTCTTCCCTCTCTCTAACAACCACGTTAGTTAGTATTAGTAAAGAAAATAATGAAGAATCATTTATATTAAGATTTCTCTATAGGCCCACATATCCTGGAAAGGAAAACTTGAAAAAGGGAGCCTTCATTGCACTGGATTAAAGATTTGTTCAATAGAAGACTGACTTAAAAAAACAAACAACCCTCCCCCACCCAAAAAACCTAAAAATATGTTCACATCTTCCAGAAGCAGCTTGAAAGTTCCCAAAAGAAAAGCCAGCTTTGATCAATAAGATAACAAAATTTATCAACAGACATTATATTCTGAGCATTGAGCATCACAATACTAAGATTACTCAAAAACATTTTTTTAAATAATCATTGCTTTCAATCTTATATTGTAGTTCAGAATAGTATGGATTAATATTAAACATTTCTCAGAAAACATTAGGTTTGAGCTAGTTTTTGGAAGAGAGAAAAATCATTTATTGGTGAAAAGAACTGAAGAAGAGAATAAGGGAAGTAACTCTGATGTTGCTAGTAGTATCTCAGTTTACAAAAAGGGTAGTCAGGCTCAAAGAAGCTAGATGATTTGCCTAATATCACACAGCAGGGCAAGAGAGAAAGCTGATTCAAACTTAAGATCTATTGGTATACTTAAGAACATGGTCTTCCTCTTTTTTGAATTGTGGGAGACACAGACTGAGAACAGTTAAATTGTATTTGTTGGCTGGTAAGACATTTAAAGCCAAAACTCTGTAGTGAGAGTAAAACAAAGCTGATAAAACAAAGAAGGTGATATACTTGTGGAGGGCCTTGAGGATAGGCAGGGGTGTCTAAAGTAAGCCATAGGAATCCAAGATACTTAAGTAGAGGAATGTGATATTTTAAAAAAATGAATTTAAGGACAATTGTTTTTGCAGAGATATATAAGATGTGGGAAGAGACTGGGAGACATGTAGGAGGGTATTATAGTACTCCAGGCCTTTAGTACTTATGAAATATACACACACACACACACACACACACACTTTTTTTTTTTTAAAGCAGACTCCACACCTAGCATGGAACCCAATGTGGGACTTGAACTCACAACCTGAGATCAATCTGAGCTGAGATCAAGAGTCGGATACTTCATCAACTGAGCCATGCAGGTACCCCACTACTGGTAAACTAAGGTGACTAGGGAAATAGAAAGAAGACCTAAGAGGCATTTCCAATTTTTTATTGTTGTAAATCAACACTGGTATGAAGCTTACAGAAAGTGTAATTAAAAGTTATCCTAGAGGGGCATCTGGGTGGCTCCTTCAGTTAAACATCTGACTCTTGGTTTGGGTCATGATCTCAGGGTTGTGGGATCAAACCCTACATGTCTGTCTGACATTCTTCTCAGACATGTCTGTCTGAGATTCTTTCCTCCTCCCTCTCCCTCCCACTCTGCTCCTCGCCCCACCCCCCAGCTCTCTATCTCTCTCTTAAATAAATAAAATCTTAAAGAAAAAAGGTGATCCTAAAGTTTCAGTCCTAAAGAAGAGTAGTAGCATTTACAGGGAAATGTGTAAAGAGTGTCTTGGGCAGTAGGAAATATGATTAACTTTTCGCCAATGTATTACATTGTAAGTCTTGGGGTTACAGACAGTAAAAGATCCATGCACCTCAAAGTATGGTCTGTGGGTTAGTCCTCATCCATGACAGAGTAAATACACAAATTAGAGGTAAAGTTTAGAACGTCTTAGAGCAATTTTACAGAGTAGTTTTATATATGTTGAATTTAATAACAAAAATTGAAGCATATATTTTTATTTTTAAACTTTTAATTTTTCTAGTAATCAATTTTTAAATATTTTATAAAAATATAATTCCATGACAGACCGAAAATTAACAAAAATTATAAAACTTGTCCTGAACAAATCATTTAAGAACACAGCTATGGATTGCAAGAGTTATGGCAGGAGAGTTAGGATAAGAAGTGGAGGTTAGAGATGTAGCTCAAGCATTACTGCCTTGACCACCCATCCCCACCAAACACAGATTTAGGCTATCTATGCTCACAGCTTCAGATACTATAAGTAAGTCAAAGATGAATATGACACAGATCTTATCATCTTGGGGTTTTCAGATTAACACAGGATATACATAATATCATGGTATAAGACAGAGGTAAATGCCATAAAAAGAACAAATACTATATGGCCTCAATTCTAGAATACACTCAACATCTTCTGTTTCACAATCATGAGTATGTATTTGGCATCTGGTGTTTCCTCCTTAGTCCCAAGCCATGTTAAAATCTGTTTTTTTTTAACAATTGATATCATCATATACTGGAGGAATTATATTTTGAAATCATGCTGTATGCAGCACACATACTTATATATACTTATATATATGTTACCACAGCAAATGTTTATTTGCATGTCTCTCTCCCACCTGGGAGCTCCTTCAGGAAATGCCTCTGCAAACTTGGCAATGCCTGTGCCTATGATAGCACCTACCTATATTAAGTATTCAAAAATGATTGTACAGTCAGAAGGGAAGTTTACAGCCTAAGACTGAGTCTTGGCATTGACACCTCTTTAGAAAAAGGTAAAGGCAAACTTACTGAGAGTTGCATTTATGCAACAAGAGATTCATTCTAAAGATATTTCTAATGGTGTAAGAATAGCTATTTCTATTGACATTGTTTCAGTACAAAAATGCAAGTACAACTGATTAAAGCTTATAATTTTAATTTCTCAAATATTCTCACCAAAGCTTCCAGCTTGGAAAAGTAGGTCATTACCATAATCTTCTCTAAGTGTGATTTCCTCTGGTCTGCTTTGGTTCTGAGCAAAGTGTTCTGAAACATCAATAGCACTATGGAGAAACAGAAGATTGACAAAAACATGGGAATAGAACCCAAGGATTTTGCAGTATCCTGAAAAAACCCCAAACCCCTAAAACAAAAAACAGGTTTTATCATAAAATCACTTTTATTTTCTCAATAGTATTATTTACAAACACTAGTTTATTATACATGCATATATACAAATGATCTCCAGGTTGCCAAATCCAGGGGTCGATTCTCAGTCCTTATCTTACTTACCCTAACCAACCGCATTTGAAACAGATGTTCACTCCCTCATGGAACAGCCTTCTCTCAACCTACTTACTTCTGATTTTTTCTCTACCTCACTGACTGCTCTTTTTCCATCTCCTTTAAGAGTTCTTCCTCATCAGACTATTAGCTACTAGGACTGACCCAACGCTCTGTTCTCAGATCTCTCTCTTTTTAAAAAATTACACACATCCCCTGTGGGTCTCTTATGACTCATGAGTGAAGTTCCAACAATATGTTCACAATTTTCAAATTTATACATCCCAATCCAGACCTCGTTCCTGAATTTCAGACCCAGATATTCAACTACCTGCCTACTGCCCTTGGATGTGCAACAATCTTCTCAAAATTTATGTCAAAACCTAATTTAGCCTTTACCCTGCCCCTCTTAAACTTGCCAGTCCCTAGTTATCCTCATTTCATTAGGTGGTTAACTCCGTTCTCATGCCCAAATCATATGATCTCTCTTTCTCTTAAAGCCATATCCAATTTTTCAGGAAATCCTGTTGGCTCTGTCTTCAAAATATATTCATAATTTGACTGTCACCACCTTGATAACATGAAGACTGAGAGTGAAGTGATCACAGACACTGTCATTTCTCCCTTGGACTTTTTTTTTTTTTTTTTTTTTTTTGGCTGGGGTAGTACCATTTATTAAGGAAGAACAAGACAAAGGCCACAGGAAGTTTTCTTCAAGGACACAGAGGCCAGGCATCCTGATCCCACATCTGTGGGCTGCTGGTGGGGAGGACACATGCTCCCAAGTAGGCCCTCAGGCTTCCACAAACAGGGCAGGGCTGTCATGTCCCCTTCCTGTCCATCCCAGTCATGATTCCTGGGAGTCCCCCAACCAAGGCACTAACTCTTTTCAACCACCAATGCCCTCCTTCCCCCATGTCCCCTGGGCCTTCACTTTCAGATCAGTGGAGGGTGGGGATATGGTCTGGTGTGGGTAGGGAGACCCTCTCAGCTCTGGGCTTTCCCCCAGCAGTTCCTGGTAAGAGCTGGGGTGGAGTTCCCCTTGCAGCCCCTGAGGGGAGGGGACCCAGGCTAGGTATTGGGTTGGAGGGGTCATCTGGACTTCTTACTGAAATAATCTTCTCATAGGTTCTCTGCTTCCTCCCTTTCCCCCTTAGAGTAAGTAGCCTGAGGAAGCATGTTGAAATCAAGTCAGATCCAGTCACTCTCCTATTCAAAACCCTCCTATGCTTCCTATCAGAGTAAAATAAAAGTCCTTAATGCGGCTTACAATACCCTACATCATTTGCACCCTCTGCTACCTCTCTGACCTCATCTCCTACCACTCAGATGCTCATTTATAGCACTCCGATCTCACTGGTTTCCCTGCTGTTCCCTGAAAATGTCCAATGTGTTCTGCCTTACGGCCTTCCCACTTGCTCTACCTGGAACCTTCTTCCCCAAGTTACTGAATGATTTGTTCTTACACCTCCATCAGGTTTCAGTTCTAACCCTTAAAAAAAAAAAAAAAAAAAAAAAAAGAAAGAAAGAAAAAAAAAAGCCTTTCCTGACCATCCTCATTTATTTACTTTATTTTCTATTTCTTCTCATATTGCTGATCATTTCCTGGCATATTGTGTACTTATTTGTTTATTGTTTGTCTAAAATGTAAGATTCTTGCAGACAGGAACTATTGTTTACTGCTATCTCCTTTGTGCTTAGATCAGTGCCTGGCATATGCAAGGCACCCAATAAATGTTTACTAAATGAGTGGATGAACATACAGTCAATAGTGCAAACTACATTCAGCAAATATAATGATATATTTTTGGCATTATATTTCAAAATTTCACACAGAATTTAAGTTTTGTCAACTGCATGTGTTTCAATTGTTACCTAGATTTCACTTGTGTTCATGAAATACGAAGGTGAAAACAACAAAATATCAAGAAAATCAAATAGAAGGAAAATAAATTTAAAAAATTTACTTCACATTCTGGGTGTCAAAATCATGAAATTCTTCTGGCAGTGTAATAGCATTGTAAGCAGCTTCAAAATTCTCTTTTGGAAGGTCCACCAGTCCTGAAAAGAATCAAAAACCACATTCAATGAGCAATAATGTTATATAAGTAGAAAATCCCAACTCCTGACCTTCTTTAGTCCTTCTCTACAAACAGCTAGAGTGATATTAAAAATATTTAAAAAGCAATCAGATCAGCTCACTCCTGTGCTTAAAATGATTTAGTGACTTCCCCAGTGCATTTAAATAAAATCCAAATTTCTAATCAGGGCCTCTGGAGCCCTACAAATCTATCAGCATCATCTTTTCCTCATTCACTAGACTCCAACCATACTGGCCTTTTTGTTCCTCCAGACCTTTGCTCTCACAGTTCCCTCTGCCCAGAATGCTATTTCCTCAGGGACTTTTTACATGGCTGGGTACTTCTCATTCTTGAAGTCTGACCTTAAATTCAATCTTCTCTGAAAGGCTTTCCCCAATCAGCCTAACTCAAGTAAAGTTTTCTGTTATTTTTTGTTGTAATACTCTGCTTACATTTCTGCATAGCGCAATCGCAATCTATAATTATTGTAATAATTTTAAAAAACTTTTTCATTATTTGATTTCCTCACCAAACTGAAAGGGACCTTATTTGCCTTGTTTGCCTTTGCATCCCAGAGCCTAAAATAGTGTTTGGCACAAAATATGGGATCAATAAATACCTGTGGATTATATAAATGAAATAATAAACAAATGAACCATATTTGATTGAGTATAAACTTATGTAGAGATTCTACAAATATTTTAAATAAAGAAAAAAAAAACCCTGTCAGCCCCAATTCAATAAATATTAATTGAGGGAATAGTATGTTCAAGGCACTGAAACAAGTACTATAAGAGATTCAGAAAATAAACATGACAGAGATGTTGCCTTCAAGGAGCTTGCAAACTAGTGTAAGAGGCAAGGCCTGTACCTAAATAACCATAATATGAGATAGAAATGATGAATGTTTTTAAGTTTAAAGGCATTATATTTATGATGCATGTAAACCTCTAGCACTTTTGAATGTCTAGAGATTTTCTATAATATTTCATAATAGCATGCTGCTTAGAGTCCTAAGAATTCTGAAAATAATGACAATTATAATATTTGGCTTTTGTCAATTACACTTTATCTCACAGAGGCAGAAACAGATACAGCAAACTAAGCAACCCGTTAAAACAGATCTCAGAATTTCCTACATAATTGTGGTAGCTTTACATATATATTTTTTTGTAAATATGCAGGAAAATTACAAGTTTTTGAAAGTATAACCTTTACCTGAAAATACAGGAAAAGAGAAAGGGAAAGAATATAATTTGTCCTTAACCATGAAAACTTAGAATCAGTGAAAAGAAAGTTTATGTTCATTATACACCCTGGAATTACAGAGCACCACCAATTAAAATAGCCCATCCCAAATAAAAATGCCAAAGGGAACCAAGAAAGTATTGCAAGTATACCTGGGCGAAATGTCATCTTCATTTTAAGCAATGCTTCACTGCAATCTGCCAAAAGATATTTTGCCTTCCTATTATAGATTCGCACAACTCCCAAAAGAAGGTGTCCTGAAGTTCGAAGTGCAATTTTCACCTTCCAATAATTTTTAAAGTATTAGAATGTTAAGAACTAGACCCATAAACCCTATTTGAAAATTACAAAATCATAGAATTTCTTCTCTTTAAAAAGCAGACATTTTGCTTATTCTTATTTAAAGTGAATTAGTTTTACCTCATCTTGTAAAATGATGAACTTTTGTTCTTACTCAATGAAGATAATCTCATGTACCATTTAAGTGAAATGTGTTATTATTGGTTTCATGGGAATAATATAAACTCTGCAGTCAGGCAGACTCAGATTCAAGTCTTGGCTCAATGACTAAGGTTGTCATTCAACCTTCTTAAACTTCAGTTTATTAATAATGGCTACAACTTATTATACATTTACTTTGTGCCAGGCATTTTCTTAAGAGCTCTTCATATATTATTTAATTTTAACAACACCCTCTATTTACCAAAGAAAAAAAACAGACTCAGAAATGTTAAGTAGCATGCCCAAAGTAACACAACTACTAATGGAGTAGGAATTAAACTTAAATTTGACTAACTCAAAAGTTCATCCCCTTAACTACCACACTTCACTGAGGCTAAATGAAGCCGGTTTCATAGAGTTATTGTGAAGATTAAATAATCTAATGAACATAAAGCCTAGCCCAGTGCCTGACACATGGAAGCTTTTCAATTATCATTCATCCATCTTTGAAGCAGAAAAACTTAACCTAAAAACATACAAAAACAATACTTTAATGCAAATTGTAATATCTTATTATAGTGTCTTAATAATGAAGTATTTTCATATATATTTTGAGTTATACTTAATTTTTTTTCTGTTCTGCATATTCAACTGTTCACTATTTTTCTAAGTAGTAATTATTTGGTTCCTATGACTTACATGGTATTTTGTTAAGGGAATAAGAAAGGATTACAAAACATGTATAAAACATGACCTCTCTCCTTCAGGGTCCAATCTGTTCATGATAAACATATGAAATAGTATTTACCAACAGAAACTGACATATGTTCAAGCTCAGGTAATAAATGTTATAGGAATTAAAAGAAAGAAGACCATTTCAGAAGTAAAGTTCCTTGGAAGTTTTATAATTTTAATTTTATTAATAAATAAATTTTGTTTATAATTTTAATCTATAATTTTAATCAATAACATACCTTAGGTGAAAGAATTTTTTCAATGGTTATCTCTAGATTACATTCAAATACATGAGCCTTTGTGAGTTTCTTCTCCCAGTGAGCAGCAAGCCAGATTTTGGCCAATGGCCCTCGCTTACTCATAAGCACATGTGTGTAGAACATGTTGCCTCTATTCCTTAGCTGTATTTAACAAACTAGAAGGAACATTAAAAGATATTTAAATGTTGATTACAAAAACATTTCGGTGCTATTTTATAGCAAAAACACTTATTAATTATATAAAGTAACAGATTATCTTGCAATTCAAGGCATAATTCAAATTCATATTTTTTTCTAAGAAGAAACTGTTATTTAAGATGTGAAATTAGAAACTAACAAGAGCTCTGTTGGATTGTGAACCACACCCGGTTTAAATGTATTCTGATCTTTTATGGCTTCTTACATCCTACTTTGTTTTTTACATCCTACTGTGATTTATCCTGCGAAGGATTTGAGTTTTCTTTTTAATATAGTCAAATAAAAAGAGGAGAAAGCTTGGGAAAAGTCGATGGAAATAGGGAAAAAAGCAACAGGAAAAGGTGGACAAAACTAAGAGAAGTGAACCCATATCACCTCTTTTCTAAAACTTAGGAATTTGAGAAATGTTGGATCCTTCCTTGACTCATAACCAGGTTTGAATTTCTTTGTTTTCTGCAAGATGCTCTGGTTTATTCGACAATGTATTAACCTTTGAAGTTAAAATAATAGAACTCTAGAGGATTATAAACTGGAAAAATGAAGAAAACAAGAAACTACAGGAAGAGAATCACAAAGCAAGAAAGGAAACAAGAATCAAATTTAAATGTTTCCAAATAAGAATGGTGAAAAAAAAACAAAACCTTAACAGAACAAAAACAATTTATGTGCATTTCTACCCATTGTACTATCCTCAAGTATATCATAAGGCTCCACTTTAAGCAAAGGGATATTATAATACTTTGACTTCTAGAGAAGAATCAGGTTATTGCTCACAGATAAGTAATTTTAAGCTGCCACCATAAAAGCTTTTTTGCTTCTTTTCTACTTAAAGTTCTGATCAAAAGAGAAAAACCCAATGAACACAAAAACACAATCAGTCAGAGAATTCAAAATTTAGGTGAACTTAGATCAATACCCATTTCCACCTCAAAAATCAAATCACTGTGCCTGAAATTAAAACTTTGTCAATCTACCAAACCACAGTCCCCACTGAGAGAGCAGGCGATTTTAATGATTATGGCCTGCGCCTGCCCTGGTTCCACTTTCTTCTTTTCCGTTCTGTGTTTGGTATCTTAGAATAAATTCCAATTTATCTCACAAAATTACTCCCAGGTATACGGTTATTGATGTATTTTAAGGAAAAACAACCCTGTGATTGAATTTTCCGGAGACACAGTATGTCCCGAGCACATATTCCACCCTCCCCGCCCCCCCAACACCCGTCACCCCGCACCGCCCTCGGGGTGTTTCTAGATTGGACTGGCTTCGAGCAAAGCCGAGCTGACGAGAATCGGGAACCTGGAGCCAAGGAGGGGCCGCTGCTGGGAGAGGGTCCCGGGCAAGGAGGGGGTTTGGAGGAGGGAGGAGGAGGAGGAGAGAGGCCGCCGGCAAGGGGGAGAGAGGGGCGCACAGCCGAGCGGGCGGGCCGCTCTGGGGCAGGGGCATGGGGAGAGCCGGAGGGTTCCTTCAGGGGGGCAAAACCGGGTGAGGGGCGACGAAGAGGCAGGCGCAGAAGGCGGGGTGAGGGGTCCGCGGCTATGAAGGAAAGACGGCGAGCGCCAAGAGCAAGGACGCCAGGGGCTTCCTCCACAAACGACTCCTCAGACTTCAAGGCCGCCTGTTCAGAGAGGGAAACTGAGGCCAGAGAGGTGCCCACAGGCGCCCGTTCCTCCCTGCAAGGGCAAGGAGCGGCGGGTCGCGCCTCCAGCCTGAGAGGCTGAGCTCTGAGCCTCCAGCTGAGGGCGGCTGCGATCCTCCCTCAGGCGCGGTCCGCCGGTCTCGCGCCTCTGAGGAGCTGGCGGGGCGCGTGTGGGGATGTGGGTGGCCGCCGCCCCCATCACTTAGCTCGCCTTCAGTCCCCGGCTCCCGCCCAGTCCCTCAGGCTGCGCCCTACTTCGGCGCCGGGTGTGAGGAGAGGCGTGCTCGAGCAGGGGCTGGAAGACCGGTCACCAGGGTCCGGGCGTCGAGTCAGAAGCGCCTCGCTCCCAGTGCTGCCAGGCGTCAGGGTTGCGCGGCTGAGCGATGGGCGGGGCTGCAAGGGACGGGGCGGGGCTGCAAGGGACGGGGCGGGGCAGTTGACCAGGGATGGGGGGGCGGGGGGGCGGCAGATATGGGGCGGAGAGAGGGGCGGGGCTGGGAGCCTCCTTCCTGGTGTTTGAGCTGTCAGAGCTCTAACCTGGGATCCCCTTAAGCAGGGCGGCGGGGGCGGGGCGGGGCGGGGCGCTAAAGAAGGGATGACGCGAGCTCGAGGGGGCGGGACCTACAGAACAATTGTGAAAGGTGGTGTGACTACGCCTGGGCTCTGGAGCCCTAGGATGGACTCTCCTCTCTTCCACTAACTACCTGAGAGGTCCCTGGAGAAATTATTTAATCACTTAAACCTCAGGTTTTCTCATCTGTGAAGTGGAAGTGATGCTAATAAAAGTACCTGTGCTGTAGGTATTGCCAGAGGTAAATGAGACGAAGCATGTAAAGAACCTGGCAATAATAAATGCTCAAGAAACATCAGCCATTATTACTGTCATTATTAAAAAGATCAATCACATTGACCCACCCTTTAGGGACAGCAGTTATTTTCCTGCCTGGGAACATCACAACTTTCAATAGCCAAAGACAATTGATGGAACCTAATAAAAATCATTCCACAGAATAAGGATCCAAGGCTGGTTTCCTCCCTTGAGATTCATAGTAAATACTAATAAACCCTGGAAGAACAAGGGCATCCAATATATAGGTTATTGATAACGTCCCAGGCTCCTCCTCATAGATTGTCTCATTTACTCATGTTAAATAACACCTATGCAACCAGGTACATTAAAAAAATCTAATTGGCTTTATTAAACGATTCATGAATCAGGCAGCACCCCATCTAGGAAGTAGGAAAAGTACAAAGTAGGTTTTTAAGGAAGAGCAGTGCGGCATGAGAATCAGTAAAAGACAAGGCTTGTTTCAGGCAAGATTGCTTTCACTTAGGGGCAAGGGCAAGGGATCTTACTGTGCAGATTAACTCATCTTTGGGGGTGGTGGAGAGGGTTCCTGTGGCAGCCTCAAGTGTACCCATCAGAAAATTCCTGACTGACCAGTTAAGACTACATTTCTAGGAGAGATTGAAACTGCACTTAGCTCATTAAGTCCCAATTTAGGCACTCAGCCTAAGTGGTATAATTTTGGGCCTGGGTTTTCCTTTTTCTTTTATTTTAAAAAAGATTTTATTTATTTATTTGAGAGAGAGACAGAGAGTACAAGGAGAAAGAAAGCAGAGGGAGACAAGGAAGCAGGGTCCCTACTGAGCAGGGAACCCAATGCAAGGATTGATCCCAGGACCTGAAGATCATAACCTGAGCCACCAAGGTGCCCCTATTTTTTTTAAATTTGATTTATTTATTTGACAGAGAGAAAGAGAGAGCAGAAACAGGGAGAGTGTCAGAAGGAGAAGCAGACTCCCATTAGGAGCAGGGAGCCTGTTGCAGGGCTCGATCCCAGTGTCCTGGGATCATGACCTGAGCCGAAGGCAGACCCCCACCCAACTGAGCCACCCAGGCGCCCCTGTGGTTTTTAGTACTCTTCAACCTCACAAGGTAGCTGTTAGTTTTCCCCATTTTGCAATAAGGAGATGACCCAAAGAGAAGACGTGACCTGTCCTGGATCACGGAGCTGGGAATGGTAGAGACAGGATTCAAACTCAAGTCTAGCTCCCATTTTCCTACCTCGGGATGGTGTCACAGCAACCATTCAAGAGAATATCTGGGAGACAACCTTGATGCTCACCTCACCTCTACTTAATGTCAGTCCATCAGCAAGCCCACCCCTCACCTTCACACTACCACTTCTCACCACCTCTACCTAGCCCACCCTCATCTAAGCCACCTCCCTCCTGGAGAAGGTCCCCCAGCCTCCTCAGCAGTGTCCCTCATGCTACTTGCCTCCCTTAAGCCCACTGTCCACACTGAAGCCAGAGCAGGCTTCGAACAATATAAATCAAATCACATTACACCCTGTCTTCCTCCCTTAAAGCCCTCTATGTTTTCCTGTTGCTCTTAGAATAAAATCCAAACTCCTTCCTAAAAACTGCAGGGTCCTGCATAGTCTCCCCCTTATTATTCTCTCCATTTCATGCAGGTGGTTTTATCTTGACAATAGTCAATTTTCAGGTTCAGGGCCCTTGTGCTTGCATGGGTCCCTCCAGGGACCTGGATAAAACATAGCAATGTGTTCATCTGGGTGTATGTTTTTGTAAACATTGCAGAAGTAAGATATTTAACTGAAATCCTTTTAAGGTTGATGTCTCCTTCCACCCCCAGCTCTCCACCCATCCCAGCACCTTGGTGGCAGTGGGGTACCTGATGGATGTAGCTGTTAACCTTAAAAATATAAACGGCCAGTTATTTTACCCGCCAAAGAATGAATAAGCAGCGGAAGAACTGTAGGCATGTCCTGGGAACAGGTGAGGGGCATGCTTTTTTAAGGAGAAGGGGTAAGTTTGAAAGGCTGTTATGACCTAAACTGGGAGTTTGAAATATGGTGGCTTTTTATTGGCTGAGCTGTTGCTGGATGGATAAGGAAATTGTCTCTTCCTCCACCTGGAAGAGTAGAGTAGTATCCATGTCCAAGGTCAAGTCTGGCTCTTCCTGCTGGGACTGTAACTGACTTGAGTAGTAGGGTGTGAAAGCTCCCCCTGCCAAAACCTCCCCACTCCATTTTAGTGAGGTTCCCTGTTACTAATTTTCACACAGCTAAGGCAGAGTTGAGTTAGGCATACATTTAGTTTTGGCTCAGAGATGTTTTGGACTGAATGGTTGCATCCCCCCCAAAGTTCATATGTTGAATTCCTAACCCCCAATGTGATGGTATTAGGTGGTGGGGCTTTGGGAGGTGATGAAGCCATGAGGGCGGAGTCCTCATGAATGAGATTAGTGTCCTTATAAAAGAGACCCTGCCAAGCCCTCTCA